CGGCAAGCGTCCCGAATTCTGGGCCAACCTTGAGCGGGCCAGGCTTCTCGGCCGTAGCAGCGCCTAAAGACATGCGGTATAGTGGGATCCGCGTGGATTCCTGCCTAACAAGGCAACAGCTTTGCCCTGTTTCACCTGACTCGAACAACCGATAAATCCAGTTCAGACTCAAGACGAAGGCCTTTAAATCTGTTGCTGGGCGGCGGCTCTATCAGATGCCCTCCAGTCTATACGGTCTCTTCTATGCGTCTCCACAAATGTCACTCCACATAAACGAAGGTTTCGGTTTGAACGTCGGTCATCCTGTGATTTGTCGATACCAACTTGGCTAACTATTCCAGGAAGTGTTTTACTGAGATTTGACCGTGCCTTAATGTACGAACCAGTCGTTGGGGATGTCGAAATTATAAATTGCAATCTGCATTACGCCCATGTTCCTTTTTCCCCACGGAAGCGGAGGTACTGTATCCGTCCGCCATCTCGCTCTTTGTGGTGACCGCACACATGTTAACAAGTTCAGGCATACCTCATCTAGTGAAGGCATGCACGCGTCTCCCCTCAATAACGTTGAAGATAATACCGATAATAAATCAGTCTCACATACTTTCCCGGGCGATGCACCTGCGTCTCCAAATACATATGACCCTAGCATATCTGATTTAGCCAGGCTCTGGCAGCGCATGCGGCCCTACAGTTTAAGAAACCGAGAAGCCTGACCACACTTATCATTGCTCATTAGTAGATTTTTACAATCATTCATCTAGTACCTGTGTCTGAGTTATCTCTCTCTTCGCACAATCCAACGGCCCGGGTGAATGTCATGACTACCCTTTGCGTTCACATTGTCATTTCGTATTAACCATGCTTTCGCCTTCATTTTCAGCTTATGTACGCTTATTCTTAGACAAGTAAAGTGCTATCCATTCTATGCTATTGACTTGTTCTCGCGCTCAGTCGAGATCGATATTCTAATCATAACATTATGTTACCAGCTCATCAAGACAGCGGTTTTGTAAATGAACTGTTGTTGCTTCTTTTTCGCATATCGTTTCACTGGCACTTGTCTTCTTCTGGCCAATCGATCTAATCAAGTGGAATAGGGCGCAGCTGTTTTCTGCGGAGGAAGTCGTCTCCAGCTCGTAAACCTCCGCAATACTCCAGCATTCTCTATTATTCTTCGAGCTTCCGATTATCTGGTGTTTAAGGGGTCTGTGCGTGCCGTTGTAAACAGTTCCTAGTATGGCTTTTCCAGCTGCAATAAGATTTGCTGATCTCGACGGTGTGTAGTGTTCATTTAGTAGAGTCGGATGGCTTGAGGAAACAGTTCTGAAGGCTAAAAACAGCTTCTTACACTCAACCCTCAAAATAATCTTCGTTATCCACAAGACGGTTCTCTTTCATTAACTTTCTAGCCATATAGATAGATAATTTTGAGCTACTGAAACTTGTCAAAGATAATTAATGGAAATTTTCTGCTTTGGCAGGCGTAATGCTGACAGAAAGCGATGTGCTAACCGGGCCCGCACAATGGCCTGATTAAGGTCAAATTGCGTACCGCAGAAGGAACGGCAGTTTTTGACCGAGGCTCCTCATCGGCAACTCAGTCACATGGCATGATTGGGTGTATGACTGTCTTGCGGTTGGTGACCTCCCAGTGACTCCATGTGGACGTTTTTGCTAGAACTTTCTACTGAATAGGAACAGATGATGACCAGCGCATAAACTGAAACGATCGCAGCCCCATTACGCGTAAGATTAGCACCACCATTGAATCTACCATCTATGCTTCTTCCGGGCACAGTCGCCCAATCAGGATATTCATTTCACACATCAGGATTACTACATCCGTCCTTGATAACTGAAGCAGTCCCGAGGGATCACGGCAAAAGCCCGCCCTTCTCCAAACTAGTCTGTCAGGGTGTAGGCTGATACGACAAATAAACACCTTTCATCATATCGAACTGCACTGAATTGACTGAGGCAGTCAACCACACTCCGCAGAGGCGATTGCTTTCCAAGATCCAGCCCAGTGATGCGTTTTCAGCCTTTTACATGAGTGCAGCTTCCGCATCATAGACAACACGAGCCATTGCTTAAGGATCACCAGATACCCGAAGTGCGAAATGTGGAACATATGAACTCGTCGTAAGAGGCTTGAGGTTCACGATCAAGGTGGGGCCTTGTTTGCGTTTGTCTGGGACACGACAAACATTGCTATGGAAAGCAAGGTTTCAGCGGGAGATACCTGCCACCATTGAAGGGGTTCTTCTGGTATATTTTTCCCACGCGGAACAAAGGAACCCGCAGGTATGCTGATCGCACTGCATCATTCGATGGGTGTGGAGGGGGTGCGGGAGAACCAGCGAGCGAAGAGCTGGAAGGACGAATGGTACTCTCCGGCCGCCCAATAGAAACGGTTTTGGCTAAAGTACTACATCCTGAGCCTTCGACTCAAAAGCCTGACCAGCAAGGCCGTGGGATTTAGGGTCTTGTACGGAGACCCTCACTCTAGGTTCTGAGTCCAAAGTCTGAACCGCGAAGCACCGGATGTTTGAGTTTTCTGAGGACTTCCTGGAGCCAGGGAGTCATTGGTCTGACCAGTTGGCTGCAAGAAGCCGACCTGGCCTGGTGATGCAAGTAAGGCATCACTGTCTCCCTCCCGATGCGGCTACGCACAACAAGTGCCTACTTAGTATCACGTGGTTCTGCCTTTAAAAGTAGTTTGACTGTACTAAATAATGTGCGGGTGGTCATGGTCAATAGGCGGGCGATCGCAGTGTGCGGCCATTTTATCGGAAGAAGGCAGCGTCGCTTCTTCCATGAACATGGGGGTGCTGGTCGACTAAATGGAACGCTTTACTGCCTTCACACTCATATCGCGGAGGACAATACGACTTTACCTCCGGACGGCCTCGTAATACGTCTACCCGCATTACGGGGCTTGTTGCCCTTTATGGAACTGCTTGTTCTTGGTATTCCTGGCACTGATGAACCAGCC